GGAGTGCAGAGGCCTCCTTATTGACATCCATGTTCAGGGGTCTGGATCAGTCTTGTACTGGCCTCCCCGGCAGCATCTGGGGTCGATGTGCTCTCCCTTGTTCAGGCCAACTGTTCCTGTGGGTTTCTCCAACCTGGTACAGACCCCTTCGCTCTTCATTCCTCCCTCTCTTCAACTAAATTCCCAATTTCAGCTCAGTGTATATCTGTGGATGTCTGTCTCTGCTTCCATCAGCCACTGGATGAGGGCTCTAGTTCCTGGGTCGGTCGGTGGAAAGGATCAGAACTTCATTTTTTAAATCAAACTTTAGAAATTAACTTTTCCAATAAATCAGCTCTTTTACCTCATTGTGCTTCCTGTCCCCGACCCCAGACTCACTATGCAGCTCTTGCTGGCCTGAAATTTGCTATGCTCACCAGGCTGCCCATGAACTCACAGAGATCTGCTTGCCTCTGCCTCCTGAGTTTCTGAGTTTGCTTTGTGCTGGTGGTTCTGAGGTTTGGACCCAGGGCCTTTTTTTTTTTTTTTAAGATTTTATTTATTATGTATACAGTCTTCTGCCTGCATGCCGGCAGAGGGCACCAGATCTCAATCAAGGTGGTTGTGAGCCACCATGTGGTTGCTGTGGAATTGAACTCAGGACCTCTAGAAGAACAGTCAGCGCTCTTAACTACTGAGCCATCTCTCCAGTCTTGCATCGACCATTTAATACAGTTCCTCATGTGGTGACCCTCAAGCATAAAACTATTTCATTGCCACATCAAAACTGTAATTTTGCTACTGTTAAGAATCATAATGTGCCGGGTGTTGGTGGCACATGCCTTTAATCCCAGCACTCAGGAGGCAGAGGCCAGCCTGGTCTTCAGAGCACGTTCCAGGACAGGCTCCAAAGCAATACAGAGAAACCCTGTCTTGAAAAAAAAAAAAAAAAGAATCATAATGTAGCCGGGTGTTGGTGGTGCATGCCTTTAATCCCAGCACTCAGGAGGCAGAGGCCAGCCTGGTCTTCAGAGCACGTTCCAGGACAGGCTCCAAAGCAATACAGAGAAACCCTGTCTTGAAAAAAAAAAAAAAAGAATCGTAATGTAAGCCAGGCAGTGGTAGCCTATACCTTTAATCCCAGCACTCAAGAGGCAGAGGCAGAGGCAGGTGGATCTCTGTGAGTTCAAACCAGCCTTGAGTGAGTTCCAGGATAGCCAGGGTATGAAAAGAAACCATGTATCAAAAAAAAAAAAAAGTCATAATGTAAATATCAGATATACAAGATACCTTATATGGGTCTTGACCCACAGATTGAGAACTGCTGCTCTAGATAGATTGTCCTCCTTTTTTGCTCCCTGGCCCAGAAGCAGGCTCTTGGAGCTGCTTATAATCCTGTGCTGGATATAGGCAGCACAAGGTTCGGCATGAGCAGCTGCAGAGAACAAAACTATGTTTCTTCCCTGCTAGCTAATTCTGTGCAGTAGAAAATAGTAGTTGAAACTGATGGGGACTTTCTATGTGTTCTGCCATTTTAGATTCTGACTAAAGGAGAAGTTCAAGTGTCAGATAAAGAACGACACACACAGCTAGAGCAGATGTTTAGGGATATTGCAACCATTGTGGCAGACAAGTGTGTGAACCCAGAAACAAAAAGACCTTACACAGTTATCCTCATTGAGAGAGCCATGAAGGACATCCACTACTCGGTCAAGCCCAACAAGAGCACAAAGCAGCAGGTGAGTGAATATTCCCAGCTTTTGACAGGGCTTTCTTCCAAAGCAGACAATTCTTTTATTTCCATTCCACAAAATGAGACATTATCTCATTTCCCTAGGTTTTTCTAAGATTGCTTGTGTAGCCAAGAAGCTACTGGCATAATGTAGCTGTGTGGAAACGTTGTTCGTGTCCAACATACCAGTTAGTGCAGCACAAAACTAACCAGCACTCACTATTGTGTCTTTAAAGGCTTTGGAAGTGATAAAGCAGTTAAAAGAGAAGATAAAGATAGAGCGTGCTCACATGAGATTGCGCTTCATCCTGCCAATAAATGAAGGCAAGAAGCTCAAAGAAAAGCTGAAGCCGCTTATGAAGGTCGTGGAGAGTGAGGACTACAGCCAGCAGCTGGAGATAGTAAGATGGTAGTGGTGGGGAGCCAGTGGTGCAATGTGGGCCCCAAGATTATAATGTTGACACATTATCTCAGCTTCATTCTACCAGAATAGCTTGTTTTCTGATTAAATACTGTATTTCTTACTTTTGCATAGCTGTGACCCAAATACTTGTGAGAACAGAATAAGGAAGTAAGGTCCGTTTTGGCTCAGTCTGAGAGGGTTCAGTCCATGACTACTTGACCTCATGTACTTGAGCAGAACAGGAAGGAGGAGAGGGAGTGTGGGGAATAGAGACACGGGTCCCCAGACATCCACTTCCTCCATGTCTCCTCACCTCCTCAAGTTCCCAGACTTGGCAAATTAGTATCACCAGTTGGGGATAAAACTTTGAACACATGAGCCTGTTGGGGATATTTCATATTCAAATCATGTAACAATATTAACAAGTTGTAGGCTAACTTAAAACATCAAGATGTCAATAGGACGCTGCACACAGAGTTAAGCACACACAAGATTTTATTGGTCATTTATTTGTCACTTGTCATTTGAACTTTTCAGAACCCACTACAGTGTGTCTACTTCTCAGGTGGGTGTGACTGTCACTGACCTATAGGGGTCTAATACAGTTCTGAACCTTCATGATGCTGAAACCCTTTAATACAGTTTCTCATGTTGTGGTGACCCCCCCCCAACATTTTCATCATTGCTTTTTTTTTTTTTAAGATTTTATTTATTATGTATACAACATTGGGCGCCAGATCTTATAATGGATGGTTCTGGTTGCTGGGAACCGAACTCAGGACCTCTGGAAAGCAGTCAGTGCTTTTAACCTCTGAGCCATCTCTCCAGCCCCCTCATTGCTACTTCTTAACTGTAACTTTGCTACTGTTATGCATCATAATGTAACTATCTGTTTTCCAATGGTCTTAGGTGACCCCAGGGGTCACGACCCACAGGTTGAAACTGCTGGTCTAATGCTCTAGATTTCAGCCTGGAGAGGACCATGGTCTGCTACAACCCAGCTGGGGAATCTGGGTATGTCTTTAATAGGAGTGAGGTGCTAAGGATTGAACCCAGGGTCTTAATTCTAGGCTTAATGCTGGCTCTTACTGTGAGCTGCTGTACTGGCCAGGTGAGTCTTCTGCAGGAGTGAGTGCCTTTCCCTAATGCATCAAGGCTGAACACCAAGCCCAGTCTGCTGCCCTGGCCTCCACTGTGCCAGCCATAGATCTGCCCTGAGCATTAAAGCTGACTTTAACCTGTGCTGTTATCCATCCTCCCTTGTAAACAGCTATGTCATCATTGCAGGTATGTCTCGTCGATTCCTGGCTGCTTCAGAGAAATTGATGAGCTAATAAAAAAGGAAACCAAGGGCAAGGGTTCTCTGGAAGTACTCAGTTTGAAAGACGTGGAGGAAGGAGATGAGAAATTCGAATGACACTCTCCAGCTCCTCAGCTGGAGCACCACAGAGGACGTTGGTTCCCAGCAGCAGCATTTTGTTTTTGTGACCTGCCAAAAGCCCTGCTCAAGCAACGGGCCACTTTCCCATCTTGTGTTAAACATTTACCTAGGTACTGGGTGTTTTTGTTGTAAATTGGGGTTTCCAGCAAAAATGACAAACCCAAAATACAGTGTCCAGAACAGCTCTTCACTGCTGTCTATGCCTTTATAGTTCCACAGAAAAGATCAAAGACATGGATAAGAAGGTAGATTTAGTATGTGATAAGTCATTGGAGAGGGGTCTGTATAACAAAGTGGAGTGTTTACTAGAATGAAGATGTGGTGCTTTTGCAGAATGAAGTCCAGGTCTGGGGTGTGAGCTTGGAGAAGACTTCCTGGTTCCTACATATAGACGTATAATGACTAGGGAAAATATGAATTTTTAAATTTTCAACAAACATGGCCCTACAACTTAGATTATTCTTGGTAAAATATATATAAAGCCATTTAATAGTAATTCTTAAAAAGTTTATAATATATGTTAGTATAGCTAAAATTATACATAATCAATAAAACTTATTTTTATTAAGCTCTGGCTTGCCTTTCTAGACCGATTCCTTTTTGTTCTGGTTTTTGTATTAGGTTCTTTACTCACTGATGTGATGAAATGGCTCAAAAAGACATGTTAAGGAAGCAAAGGTTTTACTTTAGCTCAATCTGAGGAGTCACAGTCCATCACAACAGAGAAGGCCTGGTGGCAGAATCATGACGTCATGCTGCATCTGCAGTCAGAAAGCAGAGAAAGATGAATTCAGATGCTCAGCTCAAGTTTTATTCAGTCCAGAACCCCAACCAACAGACAAACCCAATCTAGAGACTCTCACAGGTGTAACCAGAGGTTTGGTTCCATGGTAATTCTAGATCCTCACAATTTGACAGTTTTAACGACCACAATTTGGGGTTTGTTTTTGGTTTGGTTTGGTTTGTATTTTGAGGGTCTTAATCAAAGGCCTTTCTTTAATCCCAGTACTTGGAAGACTGACGCAGGCAGATCTGAGTTCAAGGCCAACCTGGTTTACAGAATGAACTCCAGGACAGCCATGGCTACACAGAGAAGCCTCATTGCAAACAAGAAAAAAAAAAAAAAAAAATGGGGCTGGACAGATGGCTCAATGGGGAAGAGCACTAACTGCTCTTCAGGAGGACTCAAGTTCAGTTCCCAGCACCCACATGGCAGCTCACACAGGTCCAGTTCCAGGGCTACCTTCACACAGACATACAGGCAGGCAAAACACCAATTAAAAATAAAGGTCTGATAGCATAATACACTGACATGTTTGGAGGTTTGCTTTCAATTGTTTTTCTTCCCATTCAGAGTCAATACTTCTGCCTCAGCCTCCTGAATTATACACTTGTGCCCAGCTCCTATTTTTAGAGTTTATTCATCTACAAACAAGTAACACAGCACAAGAAATTTAGTTTTCAGAGGCAATAAGGCCAACTATCAAAATTGAGGTGTTTTTTTCTGGTTTTTGTTTTGTTTAAATGGGTTCTCAGGCCAGTAAGATGCTGCAAGTCAGGACCCACATGGTAGAAAAGAACAGGTGACTTCTCCAAGTTTTCCTTACTTTTCTAGTCATGAACCATGGCACCCATGAACCCACATACATACACATACATATTAATAAATGTAAGGGGGGGTGACATAGTGGCACATGGTTTTAATCCCAGCACTGATCTATACAGAATTCCAGGTCACCTAGGGCTACCACAGACCTGTCTCCAAAATAAATATATTTTTTTGAAAAGACAGGAACTGTGTAGCCAGCCTCACCTTGAACTCCTGATCCTTCCTGCCTCACTACCCTCAGTACTAAGACCACAAAATGTGCATCACCACACTGCCCTGTGCTCATAATGAGCTTGCCCACTGCATAGTGGTCACTTTGCTTTTCTGAGTGTGAGGGAACTTAAAGCATAATACCTCACCACTAAGTCACTTGTAAACAAGATCTTGTAATACAGAAGGAAGATGTGTTTTTTCCCCTGGTCTCATACAGTACACGGTTTTATACTCTTCAAAGACCCACCCATGGATTTGTTGAGGTCACCTTAGTTGTAAACACTGGCCACCCTTCATCTTCATGACAGGTGGTACTTCAAAAACCAGCCTGCAAAACCCTGTGAGTGCTCCTTGCCTACACTTATTTAAATCGCTATCAGGCTGGAGGAAAGAAGACAAACCAAGTAAACCCAGATGTTTTATTCTGTAAAGCACATATGCACATACTTCAAACACAGAAAATCAATGAGGGAGGGATGCCATCAGAGATTAGCTAGACCATCATGCAGAAAGGGACGGGAGATGGATCTGCTGTCCTCAAGTCCCAAAGTGCCTGCAGGAGGGTCAAAACACAGGAGGCTGGGTTCCTTGCACTGCCAAGAACACAACAGAAACATCAGGTTCCAAATGATGAGAACTTACAAATAGAATCAAAACTGATTCAAGTCATACCATATGGTGAAGGGACAAAAGGAAAGAGATCAATATGATCTGAAACAACCATTTTACAGGAAGTCACTGACTTCTGACTGCACCCCCAGTCTAGGACACCTGAGGATAAGCCAGTGCTGCTGGGGTCGGAGGTCTCCAGTGGCCCAGTCTGACACTCCAGTCCTGAAATTTACCAGCAAGAAGCAGCTGAGGACTAGGCTTTGTGTGGACCTGCCCAACAGTAACAGGTTCTGCAGATATGTCTCCAGGCTCCTAAACACAGCCACACCCTCCTTCCCCACCCATTTGCCATTTATCATTTGTCTTGCTCCACTTCTCAGCAGCTTAATCTGAAGCCTGATGGTCCCGATACCACATTTCTATCAGCCAAGTCACATGGCTTTTCCTTCATCCTGCCTGACAAGGGTCTCACTTAAAGAGGACTAAATTAAATTCACATATTAGCCATCTTATAAGCAACTCACCACTGGTTTAAAAAAAATTAATGCATCATATAACTACAGTGATTAACAATCTTCAATTTAAAAACAAAAAACTATTGTTTTTCATATAGAATGCCTGGGATAAAATTCTCTAGGCCAGTAAATTTCAGAATATATCAAGTTAACTCAAATTGAGACAGACTACAGACCTACAGTTACAGAACAAAAGTGCTGACGGACGTACCTAAGTATTTTTTCCTGCTTTTTGAGATAAGAGTATCAGTATGTAATGCAGGCTAACCTTGAACTCAAGATTCTCCTCCCTCAGCCTCCAGAGTGCTGGGCATACATTAATGCATGCACCCCCATAGCCAGCAAGTCTGGAACACTGCTTGAGAGAACATTGCATGGGAGTTGTTAAGTCAAAGCATTGATAGAAAAATTGAAAATACAAATGAAAGGAAGTGGAACAGATCATGTTTTTAAAGAGGGATATGAGAGAGCAAAGGGACAGAGGAACCAGATGATCAAAATTTCATAAGGAAAATGCTTTCAGTACTGCTCAGTATATAGACATCAGAATCCCATGCCTTCTTTCAGACCTCGCCTGCATCGTTTCCATGCTACACATAACAGTCATTTTCCTTCTGGAGGTGTGTGTTTATACAAAAATAAATGCAAAAAAATATTAAAAAAACACATGTCAAAAATAGAAAAACAAGCAAACAAGATGTCCTGTTTGTGACTATTAGACCACACCACCATTCATTCTTTCAGTAACATGCCCTGCATTATGAAAGTTAGCCCTCACTGTGCTTCTACTACACAGCTAATACTCAAGCCAGTAACTTCTCCACCAGGAGCAGACAACAGCAGAGCACTCAAGTACCTGGCTATCAGTATGGAAAATGAAACTTTGATCTTTACTACATTAAGTGACTTTTAGATGCATAACCTTACCTAGTATAGATGAACACGTCTGCCCTGACTAGAGGAATAGTAAAACATGACTATTTTTTCTTTAAAAAAAAAAAAAAAAAGTTTCCTTGCAAGCAAACAGAAAAGGTATTACTGCTGTCACTATGATCATGAAAGCCATGGACATGTAAGAGCCACAGGAGGGAATGGTGGCTTCTGAAATGCAGTATCCTGACAAAGTACAAACCGTTTCCAACACTGAATACACCAGGCTGAAACAAGAACCACAGAAAACCTCAGCCCCACTAGCACTGGACCACGTTCTGGCAAGATCCCTACATCCCCGCACTACACAGAAGGACCCCCATGTCCGTGCCCTCCTTGCCCCCAGTGAGGGGGATAGGGTCAGGCTGCATCCAGGGCAAAGCACGTACATCACAGGACCAATTTCCAGATCAATGTTTATAAATATGTACAAATCAGTTACAGGCACTTGAAATGTCTTTGGCTGGAATAACCCAACATTGCAAGATCGTATATTCACAGAGTGGCCAGGCCCTGGCCAGTTCAGCAGGCAATGATCATGGTTCTTGGTCTCTCAGAAAATGGAGAGTTGTGAGATTAGGCATCAGCCAAAGCCACCTAGAAGAGAGCAAGCAGGCAATGAAGTCAAATAGGGAGCTGCTGGCACCTAGCCCACTACCACAAGGTCATGCTGACCATGAACATCTATTGTCTTTTGGCAAGGGAATTAACAAGACCTTGAGGAGACAACCTGATCTCAGAAAGAAAAACAAAAACAAAAACAAAAAACTTAGTCTGTAAGCTGTGACCAACCTGCAAAACCACTTGTGCTATGCTGGGAGCTAACCTTTTATTATTTATTCATCCATTCATTTGGAGACAGGGTCTCACTATGTAACTCTTGCTAGCTTTGAACTCACTGATTCCTTTGCCTTTGCTCTGCCTCCTGAGATCTGTAATTTAAGGTATGTGGACTACCTTGGATTTGCTTTTTTAGACAAGGATTCATGTAGCCTAGGCTGGCCAAAAACTCACTATGGAGCTGAGGGTAACTTCAAACTCATGATTCTCCTGCCTTAACCTCCCAAGTCCTGGGATTGTCTGGTTTCTTTGGTGATGAAGACTGAACTGACGGCTTCATGCATGGGAGGCAAGCACTAACCAAGCCACACCCATAGCCACAACTGGCTGCCCCGACAGGCACTTGCTGCATGACTCCAGTGCAGGAGGAAGGATTGGGGTAGACAGGCACCAGGGACAGGAACTCCGCAACAGGGATTTCAGAACAGCTATCACCATGTCAGGACCCCTTTTCTTGAGAAACGCCTGTCCCCAGGAGCCAGACAGACCCACCCACTGCTCACCTTCTCAGGACAAAATTCAGGATTGCTCTGACGCAATTTGCTGGGTCTGCCTTTGATAACTGCGTAGCAAAACATTGTTATCACCATCACAAAAAGAAAGTAACTGGTGTGCATGAGATGCAGGTTGATTAATGAACGGTCATCCTAATGAACAAAAGAAAAGAAACCGGACACATGCAGTCCATTACTAACAACTTTTCAAACATCAGCCTCCATGCCTATAGCAATTTCATTCATTGTGGTTCAGAATTGACCCTATGGCCTCATGGCACTAGACAAATGTTCTACCACTGAGCTATATATCCAGCCCCCCAATATTAATTCTTAAGTTTGAACAGGCAGTCTCTCCATTTGTCTCCAAAACTTCCAAACTAGTTTTCACTAACATTAGACTTGGTTCTGTGTAAACTTGGTTAAGGAACAACCACTGCTCCTTCTATTGTGGCTTCTACACACCCACACTGCCAGAGCCTCACCAGCCTATCTTCTACTGGGAGGCCCACTCCTCTCTGGACATGTCCTCATGATCCCATCAAATAGCTTGTCTGCTGTCCTCACCCTGTGCTTCTCCTCCAATGGACAGATGGCACACCCTACCAGACAGCATCCCTTCTGGTTCTACTAAGTCCTTGGCTGGAAGGGATACAGGCTGGCCTCATTTCTGAGACTGATAATGCAACCATAGTGGGAAGGGTGTGTGACAGACCCTGGCTACCTCTCGTGCTAACTGCCTCATAGCAGAGAGTAGGTAAGTCTTTATTTTACAAACAGCCTCACTCTTGAGTACAGCTTGACCTAGAACTCACTATGTAACACACACTGGCCTGGAACTCATCTGCTTCAGCCTCCCAAGTGCCCAGATCTCAGGAATATATACCTGGCAAATGAGGTTTTTTTTTTTTTCTTTTTTTCTTTTTAAATAATTTATTTAACTTTATTTTATGTACACTGGTGTGAAGGTGTCAGATCCCCTGGAACTGGAGTTACAGACGGCTGTGAGCTGCCATGTGGAGGCTGGGAGTTGAACCCAGGTCCTCTAGAAGAGTAGTCAGTGCTCTTAACCTCTGAGCCATCTCTCCAGCCCCGAGGTTTTTTTTTGTTTTTTTGTTTTTTTTTTCTTAAGATTGTATTTTTACGTGTGGGTGGGTAGGTGGGTACGCACGCTCGAGTGAGCACCATGTGTGTACAGGTACTTGTGGAAAGTATATGGGGGTCCTTTGGAGCTGGAGTTACAGGTGTTGTGAATTACCTGATGTAGGTAGACTCTGGTCCCCTACAAGAGCAAGTGCCCCCATCTTAAGGTACTGCTTTATAGCAGCCTAACACAGGCAGTGAGGATCCTGCTGGAGGAGAAAGGTGAATGCTATGGCAGGGCAGGGAAGGCTCTGGAATCTGATCTGCCCATCATGCAGTCTTCCCCTCCACCCCACGCCTGAGCTCCCTGGCAAACAACTTCCATAACTGGACAGAAATTTTTTAAAAAAGGGAGAGTCCAGGGAAAAATAAGAAACCCATGCAGCACACTCAGGAAGGAAAACAAGGGTACAAAATCATTGGTGTGGCAGACTATATCTGCTGACTGCAGCATTCACTCTTCCTCTTTCCCCTGAAATTAAATGCTAATGCAGGCCCCACTATCAAGCCAAATACACATCCTAGACCAGGCACGGTGGCACAGGTCTATGATCCTAGCACTCAAGAGGCTGAAGCAAGAGGATCACAATTTCCAGGCCTGCCTGAGCTACATAGTGAGAGACTGACTAAAAAGATGAGAAACAAAGCAAAGATTTGCCTCTTCCTATGAACTGCTACCTCTTTTTTGTACCCCACACAGCACTGGCTATTGCTAACATTGATACTAAGCAGATACTCTGCATGTAAGATCACACAGGAAGTGACCCCAATGGGTCACAAAAGAAACAGACCTCAACTCCTGCTGAGAAACACACAAAATTAAAGAACAAGGCTTTTCTTAATCACAAAGGTTCCATGATTTTCACAGCTCTACTAGCCTCCCAAACCAGGTAGAAACCTTGACTGGCCAGGACTAAGCTAACCCAAGATGTAAACATTCATACACTTACAGTTCCTGAATCCACGTACACACAATCATACAATCATTCATTCTCTCTCTCTCTCTCTCTCTCTCTCTCTCTCTCTCTCTCGCACGCACAAACATACACATACACACACACACACACAGACTCACAAACAGACCTTGTTTCACTTACATCTGGAACAATAACGGTGAGTTTGGGATTTAAAGCGTGGTAGACTTTTCCAATGGCTCCCTTATAACACCAGAAAGGATTGTAGTCTTGAGCATATTTTGTGTTGGCATCTCTGGCAGTTGTGAAGATCTTGTACCAGAGTGTAGCGTTGCTGTATGTGTCAGGGACACAGTGAGGTGGCTGACTGTACGGGAGAGGAAGAAACCAGCTCAGTAACCTGAAACATTTATTTGGGCTCCCTCCACACACAGCATCCGGCAACACTGAATAGAGCAACATGACCAAAGGAGGAATAAGATGTTTTGAATAATTGCCATGTTTCTCTGGGGTAAATGCCATTATGTTTGTTTTGTTTTGTTTTTTTAAAAAGATTTTATTTGTTATGTATACAACATTCTGCTTCCATGTATATCTGCACACCAGAAGAAGGCACCAAATATCATAATGATTGGTTGTGAGCCACCATGTGGTTGCTGGGAATTGAACTCCGGACCTCTGGAAGAGCAGTCAGTGCTCTTAACCTCTGAGCCATCTCTCCAGCCTCCGCCATTATATTTTTTTGTTGTTGTTGTTTGTTTTGAGACAGGGTTTCTCTGTGGCTTTGGAGGCTGTCCTGGAACTAGCTCTTGTAGATCAGGCTGGTCTCAAACTCACAGAGATCCGCCTGCCTCTGCCTCCCAAGTGCTGGGATTAAGGTGTGCACCAACATATTTTGAGACAGGATCTCAACATAAGCAGAGACTGGCCTATGAATGCTAGAATTGCAGGTGTGAGCCAACATATCCAAATGTTTTGTATTTTTGGAATAAACACATAAGGAGCCAGGTAGTGTTTGAGATCAACCTGGGCTACATGGAACCATCTCAAAACAAATCCCACCCCAAAACTAAAATAAGTGTACTCATGTACATATCACCCACATATATAAACAATTTAAAGTTAAAAAAAAATGAAACTTTAAAAAAACTAAAACAAAAATTAATTTCTGGGTCACAGGCTTTACCTTTAAGCAGCTTTAATTACAGGTCACTCTGTCAGAGGGCCTGCTCTTCCTTTTCCAAGATGACTCTTAGCAGGAAAGGCAGCTGGAGAGCGGCCATAGCATCATATTTTACTACCTCACTGAAGCACTAGCTCTGGACTGAGCTTCTTTCTGGTTCGGTTTGATTTTGTTGAGACAGGATCTCATGGACCAAAGGATAGCCCTGACCTCATTATACAGAGGAAGATGCCTTGACCTTCTGATCCTCCTACCCAATCCTTCCAATGCTGGAACTTGAGGTGTGCTCCACCATGTCCATTTATTCTGTGTTGGAAATGGAACCCAGGACTTCATGAATGCTAAGCACACCTTCTACCAACTAAGCTACAACCCCAGCCCAGCACATTTCTATATGTAGAAGTTAGAATTTCAAATGAAACTTATAGTCCTGGAAGTCAGCAAGATGGCTCGGAAGGTATAGGTACTTGCCACCAACCCTGACAACCTGAGGTCGATCCCTGGAACCCACATAGTAGTAGAACTGACTCCTGCAAGTTGTCCTCTTGGTCTCCAGAAATGTGTAGGACACTTACACAGTGACAGGGAAGACTCCAGGGGCAGCTGTGAGGGTCATGCAGGCTGTAAACACCACCTGCTCACAATGGCCATGGAGGGCACAGTCATCGGCATTCCAGGCAGCAGGCAGGGTGAAGGTGATGTTGATCTCTTCTTCTGCTTCCCTGCCTGTGGAAGAATGAGGAGCTTATTGGTGGGCATGGGCAGAAATTCAGACTGGTCTCTGGTGCTCCAATGAGTCTGAAGCCAAACTCAACAGTCACCTACTGACCACCACACTTGCCCTATGGGATTTCTGGAAGCCACAATACTTATCTAAACAATGAGGCCTGCTTGACTAGTACAGCCATAAAGTAGCTCACAGAGGGTACTATGTGTGTCAGTCAGGGATAGGGAGCCATGCCAGAGTGCAGGCAGGAACAGAGCTGAACAACTTGAGTGTAGTGATTTTCTGTACTAATGCATTACTGTATTCAAAATCTACCATGCAGTAAATGTGACCCAAGCATCTCTGTACACACACACACACTCACTCACTCACACACACACACAACACACACACACACACACACACAGAGAGAGAGAGAGAGGGAGAGAGAGAGAGAGAGAGAGAGAGAGAGGGAGGGAGGGAGGGAGG